CTCGTCCTTGCGTCTTAGAATCATGCATCATGTTATCATCATCAAGTACATCAATTACATAGGTGCCATGTAATCATCATCAAGAACAGGTATATTGATTACATAAGTATCAAGTAATCATCCTCACAAGCAAATTGATTAAATGTGCCATCATGTAATTATCATCAAAAATTTATCATCATGAATCATCAAATTGACCATATGATATAATGTGCCATATCATGAATATTATTATACATTTGTGGACGTATATATATGTATATGTATACGTCTGTGAATCATTCTACAATTCTAGCGTGGTACCACTCAGCGGTTTCGCTGAGCGTGTAGTTTGTATTTTTCGTTGACTACACGTAGGTAACAAGAAGACAATGATGGAACCATTCCCGGAGGGCATTGAGTCATAGGAGATGCAAGGATGGCAGGCAAATGTTTGATCAACATATTTTAAAAAAAGTCATGATTTGATTATTATTGTACTTCCGCATTACTCTGAAAATATTTTTAAATGGGTCGCGATCCAGAGTCTGTAAATTTAATATTTATAATAAATTGTCATTTTCAAATGTCAAGCGAAATTTTTATTTAACTCTCGTTTCACCTTAATTCGTATAATTCCGGGTTATACGGATTGGGGTGTTACAAGGGCAGTTTGATTATGGCTCGAGGTAAGAAGCAGAATTCACTTTATGTTATGCAGGCCAGAGTATGTAGCAGATGATGCCTCCGGTGATTTGTGGCATAAGAGGCTTGGCCACATGAGTCAAAAGGGCATGCAGATCCTTTCCAGGAAAGATTATCTCCCCGACATTTCAGGTATGCTTTTAAACTCTTGTGTTGATTGTTTGGTTGGAAAACAACATAGAGTTGCATTTCATACTCGTCCCCCACATAGAAGAAAGCATGTTTTAGATCTTGTTCATACTGATGTTTGCTCTATGGATGCTAGATCACACCGTGGTGCACAATATTTTGTGACTTTTATTGATGATTTTTCTAGAAAGGTGTGGGCTTTTGTTTTGAAAAATAAAGACCAGGTACTTGAAGCTTTTAAGGAGTTTCATGCCAGAGTTGAAAGAGAAAGTGGCAGAAAGCTCAAGTGTGTCAGATCAGACAATGGTGGCGAGTACAGGGGTCCATTTGAGAATTATTGCAAAAGTCATGGCATCAAGCTTGAGAAGACCGTTCCGAAGACACCTCAGCTTAATGGAGTTGCAGAAAGAATGAACAGAACAATTGAAGAGAGAATCAGGTGTATGCTATCTCATGCTAAGCTGCCAAAGTTCTTTTGGGCTGAGGCAATGTTCACTACCGTGTACCTGATCAACTTTTCCCCTTCAGTTCCTCTTGAAGGTGATGTTCCTCAGAGAGTTTGGTCAGGGAAAGATGTCTCCTATAAGCATTTGAGAGTCTTTGGTTGCAGAGCATTTGTTCATATTCCCAGAGATGAGAGATCCAAGCTTGATAAGAAGACGAAAGAGTGCATATTTTTGGGGTATTCAGAGGATGAGTTTGGGTACAGACTATGGGATCCACGTGATAGGAAAGTGATCACAAGCAGAGATGTGGTTTTCTTTGAAGATCAGACTATTGAAGATTGTGAGAAGAAGCAGGCAAATCCTTCTCCATGCATCACAGTTGATCCAGTTCCATCTCTTCCTCCTGTTGTAGTCCCTCAAGATCATGGGGGAGATATGCATGATCATACAGTTGAGTCCCCTGCAGATGACCATCATGATGATGATAATCATGAAGATGGTGGTGATGATATTCCAGAGTCACAGCCATATTCAGAGCCGCCACCAGCACCTCAGTTGAGAAGATCCACCAGAGTCAGAAAACCTTCCACGAGACTTTCGGAGGATGATTTTGTGTTAGTCACTGATGGGGGAGAGCCAGAGACATATGATGAGGCTATGTCACATGTGCACCGCGAGAAGTGGTACGATGCCATGCAAGATGAGATGACGTCCTTGCATGAGAACCACACATATGAGCTTGTAGAGTTGCCTAAAGGCCAAAGAGCACTCAAGAACAAGTGGGTATACAGACTGAAGTGTGATGAGAGTAGCTCACAACCAAGATACAAGGCAAGATTGGTTGTGAAGGGTTTCAGTCAGAAGAAGGGCATAGATTTTGATGAGATATTTTCTCCCGTTGTGAAGATGACCTCTATTCGAGTTATACTTGGCTTAGCTGCGAGCATGGATTTGGAGATTGAGCAACTTGATGTGAAGACATCATTTCTTCATGGTGACCTTGATAAGAAAATCTACATGGAACAACCTGAAGGCTTTCAGGTTAAGGGAAAGGAGAACTTAGTTTGCCGCTTGAAGAAAAGTTTGTATGGTTTGAAACAGGCACCTCGGCAGTGATATAAGAAGTGTTGGGAAAATATTATAGATTTTGATGATGATGTATTTAGAATGTAATAGGGACTTAAGGTCTCCCCCAATATTCAATGTAATTTTTCTTTTTAGAAATATTGTCAAAACCGAGTTCTTGAGATTTCCAATAAAATTGTGATATTTCTTTAAGCGTTTTGATGCCTGAAGACAGTGATATGGAAATTGGATATCTTGATCGGAAATGTCAGAGACAAGTAAGGATTTCTCAAAGTAGATGTAAATCCTCAAATTCGGAAAACTATATGAGAACCGGATGTCTCGCTACAATCCGCTGAAGGCTAAGTCACCCAAGCCAGAAGACTAGCGCGAATCTTTTTCTCACCCGGAAGACTGAGAATGACTCCTCCGGATTTGTCAGCCAAGAACCAGATGCCTCAAGGAAGATCGGAATTCTCAAAAAGCGGACAAGTGAGAAAAGACTTAGAAAAATTATCTAAGTCTTGAATGAAGAAATTCTACCCGTTGGTAAGGAAAAATCAATCTCTTGATTTTCAACGGCTAGATTGAAGATAATTATGCTGATTCAAGAACAAATGACTCGAAGACAAAGTCTGGACCTCTAAAAATGAAGAGCCTGTCCAGAATTCCTAAACAAGCACTAGAAGACAAACAGAGTAAAGTGCTACAGTTCTGAATTCTTGAACAACAGCTAGAAGACGGATTCTGTGGAAAAAGGAATCCCTCCTCAAACAATTGGGTATGTCCAAACACCCATTCCAATGAGGAATCTTCAAATCACAATCTTCATTCAAAATTGAAGCCAACAAATGCAACGGATAGTCTATTATGATTCAACAGATAGATTATCCAATCCAGCTATAAATAGCACCCTTGGAAGACTGGAGAATATATGAATGAATAGACAACAAAGCAATCTCTAACAACAAAGCTATCTCATTCACAGTTAGCCCAAAAAGCTTGATAAAGAGAGATTTCTAAACTCCTTATCCAGAAGCAAACTTCTCCTCCTTCCAAAGAGCTATAGTGTAAACACTTGAAGGTTTCCTTGCCTCAAGTACCACACCACGTTGAAGGATACAACTTTTGATCAAACTTCTTGATTGAAAGGGGGTAGGTCAACTTTCTTACAAGTTGATCTTGCAAGTCCTATTGTTCGG